GTAAGGAATATAATATACAGCTGGTGTGTTAGAATTGGATTGCTAAAAATACAAAAAAGAGATCAAGAGCTATGACACCCAATTCATCAGGAAGCTACATTTGTGACACCAACACTAGAATCACATCAACTTCATCAATATAGTTACATAGTTATCCATTATACTTACATATTCCATGCTATTATAGTCATGAGCACTATAGTTGTCCTGTATATTGTGCATGTTTTTAATGATCTGTATCATGTTTAGTCAATGGGATGAGGAGTACAGCAACTTGTTATAGACTAAGATCATTGGTAAGCAAATTTCAGCTAGAAAAATTTTGAAAGAAAAATGCATAGAAAATTCTAAAATAAATGTATGTACTTGTATTTTTGTTTGATGGACTGCTTTGCTCAATGACTGTTAAGCCCAACATACACTACATTCAACAATGTTGCTTTCAACATTTGCCCAACCTTTGATCATGCTTTGATGTGGTCAAGCAACATGTTGCCTTGAATAGAAAGCCTTTCTATTCCTCTCAACAAGGTTAAAGAAAGATCAAAGGCTGGCAACAAGCTGCCTGTAGTGTATGTTGGGCTTTAATTGAATTGTTTGCTATTGCTGCTCTTCAATTATTAACTGTCAGCACTAAAGTTTTGTTTCTTAATGCAACTATAAATACAAACTAGTCCTTATACAGTAAAACTGTGTAAACTTAATTATGTAAACTTATTATGAAAATGATGAATACTATTAGCATGTATACTACATAGCCAGACTCTCCTTCCCAGTGTGGGACACAAATACCGTAACTTGAAGAAAAACTGAAACGCCCGAGACCAAACAATGGCGGGATAGTTAACAGGGCAGCAAGTAGCCATGACAGTGTTACTATTATTATTGATATTTTCTGGTTCATGTGTCGTTCATATTCAAATGACTTGACAATGTAAAAGAAACGATCAAACGATAGCAACACGAGACCTTCTGTGATTACAATCACACAGAACCAAAACATGAAACCCGTGAACTGACAAACTTTCATTTTCTGTTTGTAAGTTCTTCCGAATAACCACTCACCACTTGCTGCAGTTGTAATTGAGAAAAGCATCACAAAGAGGACAATCAGGAGGTTAGATATCAGCATGTTAGTAAGGAATATAGTAGATAGTTGTTTCCAAGTCTTTATATGGCATATAGTCAGTATGAGTACAAATGAGTTAGCAATGAGTCCTGCTATCATCTCTATACTGATAACTGCTGCTAGTAGGGGGCCATTGATATCACCACTTAGAGTGAAGTTTTCATCCATGTCCTCCATTTTTCGTAGATCTTTAAGATAAGAAGATGAAGATTATAATTTTAGAGAGCAAAGGACTAGTGTATCTTGTTTATCTTTTGAGAATTAGGAATGTATCAAATTTAAAGATACAGTTGAATGGGTATAGGCTTCCTTTTCAATATATACCATACATCTACTTATTATGTAGTTTATATGATGCATCATGTACATTTATAAATAACACAAAGGAAGAAGTACACCATGTTATACTTTAAAGGCATGGTTATAAAAACTTTAAAAATTCATAAAAAATCCAGTTTTGATCGGAAGGTAGAATATTTTCAAAAATTTGCAAATTTTAACTCATAAGTTTAGCAACGTATAATTAGCTCAAATTTTGTTCACTTTCAATGAAGGAAATTAATTACAATACATCACATTTGATGTAGCATGCATGAATCAGTTAGTGGGTGGATACTATTATAATGCTGTTCAACAACAAGAAGAGATAAACTAACAATGGAGGATCAGAACAACAACTTTACTCTAGGTGCTGATATCAATGGCCCCCTACTAGCAGCAGTTATCAGTATAGAGATGATAGGAGGACTCATTGCTAACTCATTTGTACTCATACTGACTATATGCCATATAAAGACTTGGAAACAACCCTCTACTATATTCCTTACTAACATGCTGATATCTAACCTCCTGATTGTCCTCTTTGTGATGCCTTTTGCAATACTTACTTGTTCCAGTGGCCAGTGGTTACTAGGGAAGACAGTGTCTGAAAAGGAAGCAACCTGTAAAGCTAATGCATACACTAATATGTCCATATACATCATAGCAACACTGAGTCTGGTACTACTCTCCTTTGATAGATACTTCTTCATAGTAAAGTCCTTTGCTTATCAAAAACACATGACATCCAATAAAGCAGTTATAATCATCATCATATCTTGGATATTAGGACCAGCCCTCTGTACTCCTCCATTGTATGGGCTGGGAACGACTGAGTTCTCAAACAGTTTTGGTATCTGCATACCTACCTTTAACAAAGAACCAGGCCTTGCTATATACATACTAGCAATGACCCTCACTTTTATCGGTAGCATTG